AAAAAAAAAAAAAAGATTAAGGGATAAAATGTTTGTAGAGTTTCTGGCAACTAGTAGCAGTAATTCCACCATTTAGCAAGTGTTTCCCATGGTGCAGGGTGTGTTCTGCTCACCATGCTAAGGACTCATTGCATTTAATCCTCACAATAATGCCTCAAGGATGATGTTATTACCCCCATACTACAGCAAAGAAAGTGAAGGATCACAGAGGCTCAATCATTTCCCATTGCTGTGTGACTGTTAAGTGGCAGAGCTGAGATCTGATGAAATTCTGCTGTCTTCAGAGCCTAAACTCTGCCCTCATATAGCAGGTGTTCAGTAAAGACTGTAGTGCTTGTGATGATGATGATGGTGATGATGATGATGATGGATGGTACCCCAATAAAGTTCAATTCTCTCAGCATGGTATTCAGTGCCCTTCCTGGTGTGGCTTTGACTGGACGCACTGCCTCTCTTACTCACATGGTCTATCCTAGCCCAGCTGAACTACTCGAAGTCCCCAAATGGACATCTTCACGTGTGCCTCTCTCTGTGGATGAGCTTCTTCTCTTCCCTTCCTCCTCCACCTGAACTGGCATGGGCATGTCTTTTCTTTACAGTCTGGCTCCAGTGTCCCTAACTCTCCATGGCTTTCCCTCCCCTCTGTCTCAAGGTCCAGTGGGCAAACCTCTGTTCTAGGCATCAGAGTGTGGTCTTACTGTCTTCTACACTCCTCTCCCTAGCCACCCTCAACTCAGACTGTGAGTTCCTGTAACCTTCATATCTGAATCCCCAGTGGCATCTAGAAGGTGCTGAGTAAAATTATTCACAAGTGCACATGGATCACACTGGTTGCTCGAACACAGTGTGAGCTCCACCTCTGCTAACCGGGATCTGGCTTCCCACCCTCTGAGTTACGGTTGTCCTGAGCACAAGTAAATACCCCTCTGCTAGGGACTAAATAAAGGCCACAATCCTGATGAAAGCAGAGCGATGCTGGGGACCAGAGAGCCCTCATAGGACCATCCCTACAGCAAGACCCTTGTGGCTGCTGAGTGTGCTAGAAAGGGAAAATGTCCTCTTTCCAATTAGTTGTTTCATTCGGAGGCCAACTCAGCTCCCAGAGAACTGAGCTGGACTCCGTTTCTGCCTCATGCTTAGGACAGCAACATTCACAGGTGAATTCCCACAGTCCAGTTTTAATACCAGTGATGACACAGCTGGGTTATCTTCCCAAGAGCAGCTCGTGGTGCTAGTGTTTTGGAAGGGGGGGGAAGACACCTTTTGGCTGTAAGTAAACCAAATTTCATGTGGCCATAATTAGAAATAAATCAGACCACCCATATATGTAATTATTTAAGTTGTCCCTCCTGAAATGACATCTGTATCTTGGAAAGCCATCAATTTCTCAAGCATCCATCAGGTAGGAAGGTGTTTAAGAGTGTAATGCTGGGAACCATCAGGCCAACCTACAGGGCGATGAGGGGAACTCATATTCCATCTTCTTAGTAACACTGCCATCTACTGAACCTTCCTGCACCAAAGACGTGGTCCTGCAGTCCTTTTCATTCCAGCATTTTCCTGTGTGGTCTCATTTCTCATTTGATTTACCATTCTGTTGATTGTTATGAAGTTTCCCACCCCTCTTTCAGAAACTAATTATTGTAATTATTGAACTTTTAATAGCTGCTGATTGGGCATCTGCAGAAAATATTTGAGAAAATGCACCACTACATTTCATTTGCATTTTGAGAGACAGTGAGGGAGAATTAGACCTTTCCTAAATTACTTATTGTGACCTGAATAGAGAAAAAGAATCCTACCAGATGGAATTCTCATTTGCATATTTAATGTGTCCGATTACCATTCACAGAGGAGTGGAGTTCCACTCCATACACTAATGTGACAATGAACAGAGTTTATCTGAAACTCAGGTTCAGCCACACAGTTTCCATGCACTAGCAGCCGAGAGAGAGGCCACTCTCAGCTCTGCATCACTTCATCGGTCGTCACTGCAGTGGAGTTTGGCACGACACATCCATCGGCAACCATCTGGCTGCTAAGGCCTCCTAAACCACTGGCTTGGTTGTTCGCATTCCAAGTACACTGCATGGCTGGAAATATAGCTAAGGAAGCCAGACATCCTTACAACGAGGCTATTGCACCCGGAAAAATGTACAATGCCAAGAATTCATGACCTTACATTCTGCAAAAGCTGCAAAGGTAAGAGACCTATTCACCAAACACACCTTGATCTGGGGCCTGGGAATGAGTTCCAGACCTCCCCTCACCAGCTCCATGACCGTAGGAAGTTACACAACTTTCTTGAGCCTCAAGCCCCAGTGATGTGGGGAGATTCTAGTGTGCTGGGATGAGCTGTTATGAATATTGATGAAACAACATGCCTGGCACAGAGGTAGTCGTAAGTGTGGATTAATGTCCAAAATGTTCCAGGCGGGCCCTGTCTTAAATACCAAGGTAAAGAAAGTCCCAGACTGAGACAACTCAATGACTAGAAGACACGTAAAGAACTAGAAGACACTTTATTTCAGGGTCAAATATTTTTATCTACCAGTTGATGCTTAAGGCAAGTAGGTGCTGGTCTTAAAAGATGACCCCCAACAATTCCCTCTGTCCTCTACACATATGTAACCCCTCACATCAGTAGGGGAGGCATATGGCCCTTCCCACTGAGTCTAAGCTGAACCTGTGACTCACTTTGACCAACAGACCAATGCTGTGGAAGCCAGGCAATCTTGTTCAAGGCCTAAGCCTTTGGAGGGCCTGGCAGCTTACCCAAAGGAGCGCTGAGCTTCTATGTGGCCTGATGGAGAATTCACTTGGAGAGACACAGATAGAGGCCAGATGGAGAGGGTTACATGGAGGAGAACCCAGAATCCTATTATGACAGCTCAAACCAAGGCCCCGGACATCTGACCCAGCCCAGGAGCCCCCTGTCATTGGAGCCAGCCCTGGAGGTGCCAGCTGTGTGAGTAAAGAAGACATCTTAAATTGTCTAGCCCACCCAGCACCATGTGGTGCAGAGATGAGCTGTCCCTGCCGCGCCTGTCTCTCGCCGTGAGAAAGAATGACATAGTTTGTTAACTGGGCAGCAGTTTGTTACACAGCAACAGTAACTAAAGAAGCGATCAAGCCCATTTTATTCCAGCCTACTGCTTTTCTGTAAATGTTGAAAACTATAAGTGCATTCCATTTCACTATGAGATGTGTGTCCCTATTCATTGGTTTGATCATTACTTCATCATCACTTTCCAGCAAAGGAACAGGAACCAGAAAAAAGATTCCAGTTACAAAGGGACACAGAGACATGGAACTAGGTCCATCCTTTTTTGCAACCCTGTATGAAATACTACAGAATTTCCTTGGTGAAAACAGTTCCCTTCCCTACACATCAAGGCTTTTGCTCCCCCGCTCCACTTCTCTCATTGATTTCAGCGGGCTTGCAACATTTTACTAGGTCACTGTCATTTTCAGGCTGTGATTAATAACACCACTAGTGTTCATTTCTTCCTAGAACATATCACTTCCTTTTTAAATCCTGGACAAAGTACAGCTGGACCTGCAACCCCTGCCCCTCATTCTTTCTATAGAAGATTCTGCTGTGCAGGGGAAAGACCAGGAGACCTGCCACCAGGCAGGACCACATTTAATACCAGGTCCACCAACTGGGAATCCTTAAGTCATTTAAATTATCTGAGCCTCTGTTTCTCCACTGGTGAAAATGGAGACAAATAATACTCCTGAGAAAACTGCTATGAGGACAAACTGTGAAAGTGGCCAGCGCCATGCCTGGTTGCTCAGTTCAATTCATTTCCTTTCCATCTGCACTCATCAGAGCGTGCATTCTCCAGGTTTTCCTCAACAAGAATTGCCTTGTTCTGTTACTCAATCCTTTCACCCTGCAATGGAGCCCCTCATTCTGCCAGGACAGGAACTTGGGAGTTGTCTTTGAGTCTCCCTCTTCCCACTCCCTGGACCCGTTCATCTCTGGGTCCTGGGATTCTGTCTCTCCTCTCCTTCACACTTGCCCAGACACCACCCTAGCTGAGCTACCATCGATGTGGTACTACAGACATGGCTTCCTACCTGCTGTCCCCATTCCCAGGCCATTCCCCGTGCAACAAACAAACAGATATTTTGATACAAAAACCTGATAGAGTCATCCTCTACTCATTTGAGAGGCTTCTTGCTGCCCTTGGGATAAAACTCCATACTTAAGCAGGGCTCCAGCCTTCCTGTGCCTGCCCCATCTGGCACATTTCCCACTCCCCCCCCCTTTGCTCCCACCCCAGCCGCCTGCAGCAGGCTCCTTCCTGCCTGGTTAATTGCTACTCATCTTTCAGGGCCCTGCTTAAATGTCACCATCTAGGAGATGGCTTCCCTGACCTCCACCCCTTCCTCTAAATTAGATTTAATCAGGTCTTCCCCCACCTCCATTCCATTATTCTTTCTCAGCATCCTATTTTTCCCCATTATTATCACTTGTCCCAATTTGTAATTGTATATTCATTGGTGAGCTTATTTCTTTAGTCTGTCTGCACTGGCACCATCTCTTGGTCCCCATGATGGACACAGGATCCATGGACAGTGTCCATCTTGTTAACCTGGCATGTCCTGTACAGAGCACTGAGCCACGAGCACAGCCAGCACTGCAGGATGGATGACTAGCTGGGGGGCAAAGGACTTCTGGCCCCACCAATGCCCAGCGCTGCCCTTAGTACCCAGGGATTGCCTCATGACGGTTGAGTCATTTCAGCTAGTTTCCGTTTGGCTGTTGCTTTTCGAAGGTCACTTCACCAGCAGAAATGACCTGTCTCAAATGACCTTGGAAGGAAGGGTGGCAGAACTCAATCAAGGGTCACAGACATACTGAGTCTCCCCTGCAGAAGGTGCTTCACCAGGGTGGCTCACCTAAGGCAGAGTACTGAGGGCAAAGGCAAAAAAGAAGTCTGGCCAGAAGGAGCTTAAATGGTTGGTCATGTGAAAAAGACAAATACGTGTGTTCATCAACAAGTACCTGGGGGTGGTCTGCATGGTACAACCGAGGCAGCAGTCTCACCATGATGCACAGGACCCCGGGGTGCATGATCACAGCATCCCCTTCATCCACCCTGCAGAGAGAGGGGAGGCGGGATATCAGATTTGAGTTTTCTAGTCTCTTCTGCTTTTCACAAACCTTTCTGAATCTTTCACAGACAGGCCATAATACACATCCTCAGTCTACCACTTATTATCTATAGAACTTTGAACTAATTAATCTGAGCCCAATTTTCCTAACTGTACAGTGGAACTCACAATACCATACTTCTCTCAGAGAGACACGGAATAATGCTTTTGGGCCCCAGGACACAGTGGCTGGCTCACAGTTGATATTCAATGCAAGTTAGTTGCCTGGTCCTCTCCCTTTCCCTCCAGACATAAAGGAGAGGGAGAGGCTCTCATTTTACGTTGAACACATACACACAAGTGTTTCTTGATCCCTTCAAGATGGTATAAGCAATTCTACTCAGCCGTACCCACTGAATGCAACTCAAAACTCACACAGAACACATAAGTAGCTCTCTGATGACTCTGAAAAGTAAATGGTAGCAGAGAAGGAAACCAAACCCAAAGCACCATGCAACTGGCATTGAATTTCCTGGAGTGTCCCCCTCCAGAATTCCTTAGTATGGGCTCAGAGGGCATCTGAAAACAGAAATGTGCATCACATGCAGATGAGGACAGAACACCAAGAAAACGTATCTGTTTCTGGTCTGAGGAACAGAAGGGAGGCTCCTAGAGGTCACAGAGCATGGAGGAGAACCCTTGAGATTGTCGTTTTGGGTTCCTTCATTCTTTCTCAGCCAGCCTCCAGACAACCTCACAGCAGTAGCAGTGGCCAGGCAGGTGTCTGAATATCTGCGAGAAGATAATCCTTCTCTCTAACCAGAAGAACTATGGTTCCAGGAGTGTAGGCAAAATCTCCATTGCCCTTGTCTCTCTTTTTCCTTTCCCTGCTTGGCACCAGAAGCAGATGCAGCGGTAGGAAGTACATGGCAAGGCAGGGAAACTAAAGCCTCAGCTTCCTAGACAGAGGAGAAGGAAGAGGCCCCTGGGAGCCATAAAGTGTCGGGGAGACAAGGAAGAGGAGGAGGCTTAATAAAGTGAGACTCTGTATCAACCTCTGGGTTCAATTCTGAGCTGCATGTGTGGATCTGACCCTAAACCATATTCCAAAGGCTTTGAGAACTGAACTCAAGGGTAAAGCACCACCCGAGACTGGCTACTTCATGGGGCAAATAGAGAATAGATAAAATCTCACTGCCAAGTCTGTGAAACCAAACTAATACTGGAAACATGGTCCACAGAAGGTGGGCAAGAACTTGCAGACTGAACCTAACCTGGTCGATTGCCTGGTAAAACAAAATAATTAACATTCTCCAGATGTCAACAAGAGCCAGAGTTCATAATATTCAAAATGTCCAGGACACAATCTGAAATTACTTAGCATAGAACAAATCAGGGAAGTCTCAATATCTCACACAGAAAAAGATAATCAACAGATGCCAAGCCTGAGATGACGCAGAGTTGGAACTATCAGACAAAAACTTTATTTTTTTTAATCAGACAAAAACTTTAAATCAGCTGTTTAACCACACTCTAAGGAATAAGGGTGAATATTATTGAAATGAATGAAAACCTAGGAAGTCTCAGTAAAGAAATGGGAGCAATAAAAAAGAACCAAATGGAAATTTAAGAACTGAAGATACAATAACAAATTTAAAAATCTCACTGAATGAGAACAATGAAAGAATGAGATGAGAGAATCCATGAATTTAAGGACAGATCAATAGAAATTGCCAAAACTGAACAACAAAAAGGAAAAAGATTTTTTAAAGTGTAAGAAATCCTCAAGCTCATGTGTAACAATACTAAAAGATCTAACACCCCATTGTAGGAATTCCAGAAGAAGAGGACGAAGAGGCAGTGTAAAAAAAAAAAAAATGTTCAGGAAGGTTTTAGCCATTATTTCTTTAAATTTCGTGTATATAGAACCTTAAAGATTCAAGAAGCTTAGCAAAGAAAGGAAGAAAGAAAGACCTATATAAAAGGAAAAACATACAATATTTGTGGGTTGGAAGATGTAATATAGTTGTCTCAATTCTCCTCAAATTCATCTATAGATTTAATGCAATTCTAATCAAGATCCCAACAGTTTTTGTAGATGTAGGCAAGCTGATCATTATATTTACATATACTAGAACAACTAGAGCCAAAGGAACTAAAATAATCAAAGCAATTTTAGAAAGGGAGAATACATTTGGAGGACTCACATTTGCTGGTTTTATGGCTTATTACAAAGCTACAGTGATCAAAACAGTATTAGTGAAGGGCTAGACACACAGATCAATGGAACAGAATAGAGTCCAGGAAAAGACCTACACAAATATGGCCAATTGATTTTTCACAAAGGTACAAAAATAATTCAATGGAAAAGGATAATATTTTCAACAAATGGCATAAGAGAAATTAGAGGTCCAAATGCAAAAAAATATATCTTGACTTAAACTTCACACCCTGCAGTAAAAGAAATTCAAAATGGATCACAGACATATACAACTTTTAAAAGAAAACACAGGAGAAAATCTTGGTGACCCTGAGCTAGGCAAAGAGTTCTTAGACATGATACCAAAAGCCCAATAAAAGAAAACATTAATAAATTGTACTGCATCAAAATTAAAGATTTTCATTCTGTGAAAGTAACTTTAAAGATGGAAAGACAGGGGCGCCTGGGTGGCTCAGTCATTGAGTGTCTGCCTTCGGCTTAGGTCATGATCCCAGGGTCCTGGGATCGAGCCCCGCATCAGGCTCCCTGCTCGCAGAAGCCTGCTTCTCCCTCCCTCACTCCCCCTGCTTGTGTTCCCTCTCTCACTGTGTCTCTCTCTGTCAAATAAATAAATAAAATCTTAAAAAAAAAAAAAAAAAAAGACGGAAAGACAAGCTACAGATGGAGAAAATCCTGGCATCCATACAATGGAGTACTACTCAGCAATAAAAATGCATGAACAACTCATACAAAAAACTGGATGGATCTCAAAGGCCTTATGCCGAATGGAAAAGGCTAGCCTCAAAAGATTTCACATTGTATACCTGCATTTATATGGTATTCTGGAAAAGACAAAATTATAAAGACATATCAGTGGTTGCCAGGGGCTAGGGGTAGAGAAAGAATTTGACTATCAAGGGGCAACATTTAGGAACTATTTGAGGTGATGGGACTATTCTGTGTCCTGATGGCTCGAAATTAAATGAATGAAAACCCATAGAGCTTTACAGCAAAAAAGGGACTTATACAGTGTATAAATTCAAAAATTAATAATAAAAATAAAAACAAACACACAAAAAACCCATAAATCTAGGAGCACCTAGATGTCTCAGTCGTTAAGCGTCTGCCTTCCGCTCAGGTCATGATCCTAGGATCCTGGGATCGAGCTCTGCTTTGGGCTCCCTGCTCAGTGGGAAGCCTGCTTCTCCCTCTCCCACTGCCCCCTGCTTATGTTCCCTCTCTCGCTGTCTCTCTCTCTCTGTGTCAAATAAATAAATAAAATCTTAAAAAAAAAAGGCTTAAAACCCATAAATCTAATCCCAATTACAAACAGCTGATTTTCAAACATCATGCCCATAGCGCTATTCTTACAACCCATGGTCAGATTGTCCTTGGCACCACCAGCCTTAAAAGGATGGCTAAGGTGCCAGGAGTGAATGCATTGGTGTTAATTTATTCAATTCAAATGAACAAATATTTATTGACCTAACTATTTGCCAGGCACTTTGGATACACCTATAAATTAAACAAACTGAAGCCCATACCCAGGATGTGAGAGGAGGAGTGTAGATAATAAAGATAAACATAATAAATATGTAAATTATAAATAACAAAAGTTTTTATTGTGTAATGCATACTACATTATTATAATATAGTATAATGTATTAATATAATATTACCATGAATAAGTAAATTACATATTATGTAAGTGCCATTGCAAGAAAAAATTCGAGCAGAGAAAGAATGAAGAGTGCTAGGGTGGAGGAAGGAAGCAATCTGCAATTTTAATTTGGGTGGCAGAGCTGGCCTCCTTGAGAAGGTGACAATTGGGCAGACTTGAAAGAGGGAGGCAGATATCTGAGGGAAAAGCATTTCAAGCAAAGGGAACAGCCAATGCAAAAGGCCCTAAGGTGGGAGTATGTCCAGCATGTTCAGGAAACAGCAAGGAAGCCTGTATTACTACCTTGATACCAAAGCTACACAAAGAAAAAAAAAAAAGAAAACTACAGACAATATCCCTAATGAATATACATGCAAAAATCCTCAACAACATACTAGCAAACCAAATCTAACAGCATATTTAAAGAATTACACACTATGATCAAGTGGGGTTTATCCCAAGAATACAAGGGTATGAGTGATTCAACATAAGAAAATCAGTCAAGGTAATACACTATATTAGAAGACAAAGGGAAGAAAACAAAGGATTGTCTCAACTGATGCAGAAAAAGTATTTGACAATATTGAATACCCTTTCATGATAAAAATAGTCAGAAAACTACAAATTGATAGGAACTTTCTCAACATGATAGAAGGCATTTATAAAAAGACCACAGCTAACATATGCAATGATAAAAGCTGGTCCTCAAATTCATATGGAATTGCAAGGAACTCTAAATAGCCAAAACAATATTTAAAATGAAGAACAAAGTTGGACTACTCCCACTTCTTGAGTTCAAAACTTACTACAATGCTACAGTAATCAAAACAGTGTGGTACTGGCTCGAGGACAGACACATAGTCCAGTGGACTAGAATTGAGAGTCCTCCACAAGAATGCTAAGATCATTCAGTGGGGAAAGAACAGAGTCATCAGTACATGGTGCTGAGAGAAGTGCATAGCCACATGCAAAAGAATGAAGTTGAACCCTGGCCTCACACCATATAATGGATCAATAACCTAAACATAAGAGCTAAAACTTTTAGGGAGAAACACAGAGGTAAATCTTCATGACCTAGGATTTGGCAATGGATTCTTACATGACACCAAAAGCATGAGCAACAAAAGAAAAAATAGATGAAATAG